GGCGTCTGCCTACTTCTTTCCTGGCAGGCCAGCCACCCTGACATGGGTGGGCCTGTGACCCCAAAACATAAGCTCTGTGATCCTCCATGAATCGTGGTCAGGGTACTGACCACACAGACGTGGCCCACCATGGGCACATGGCCCTCAGTGCGTTGCAGAGACTTGCTCATGGTCACATGGTGTTATGGCCTGAACTGTGTCCCCAAAATTCCCGTGTTGGAGTCTTAACCCCCAGCACCTCAGAATGTGGTTGTATTGGGAGAAAGACTCTTTAAAAGAGGTGATTAAGGTAAAATGAGGTCACTAGAGTGGGCCCTGATCCAATAGGACGGGGGTGGGTCCTCATAAGAAGAGGAGATCAGGACACAGACACACACAGAGGGACGACGACATGAGGACACAGGGAGAAGACAGCATCTACACACCAAGAAGGAGACTCAGGAAGAACAGCCCTGCCCACACCTGGACCTCAGACGTCCAGCCTCCAGGACCGGGAGACAATCAGTCCTGTTTTTTAAGCCACTTAGGCTGTGGGGCTTTGTTACGACACCCTAGAAAACACATAGACACAGCCTACGTGGCAGACCCAGGCTGGGCATCTGCCTCTGCCTGCCACCAGCGCCATGTTCTTCCTACTCTGTCCAAGTATTTTCAGGTTTTCGCTTCACATCTTGCAGAATAGCTATAACTCATGTTGACCGTGCAGGAGACTGGGTTTCTCTTGCTCTCTTCATTTTAGATTTGAGCTTGACCATGAGCTTTACCAGTGGAAGGACCGGAGTTTCCTACAGGTTAATGATGTGGTTGACCACGTCTCTGCCGCTTACAGCTCTGCAAACTTGGGTGGTGCAGTCTCACGCCTCTCAGGATCTTGGCTGTCGTTAAACTGATAAGGTATTCACAGAGCACCGGGTACAAAGCAAGCCCTCAGGAAGTGGTAGCTGTCATCCTCCATCGTGAGCAAAACCAGAGCTTCCTTTACTGTTGGATTCTGTCACCCGGGAGTGTTCCATTTCTAGAATGTGTATTCAGTGCAGTTCAGCTCCATCAACATTTACCCAACTACAGGTACAGTTATGCCAAGAAAAAGACATAATCCCTTGTCCTCACACGGCAGCTCACAGCCTGGAGGAGGGAGGAGCTCCTTAATCAGCTGAATATTGGAGTGATGCTGAGAGGGAGGGAGAGAGGGATGGAAGGAGGGAGGGAGAGAGAGAGGTGGAGAGGAGATACAGGACGTCTGTCTTGAAGGAGATGTGGAGGGTTTCCCTGTGCTAGGATGCGCCCCCCTCTGTGGATCAGGGCCTCTAGGGTGCTGAGAAACTTAGAGAGTGGAATCTGGCCTGAAGGACTCCTGGGAGCCTTCCCAGGCATCGGTCGGGCTGCCGTATACGTCATTAAATCAGGGCTGATGTCGGTCACAAACCCCTTCTCTCACTGCTGGATTTTGCAGTTCTCTACCACGTCAGCCCCCCTCCCGTTCCCAAACCACCCACGTGCCATGAGGAACGCACTGCTTGTCAGGAGAGGTGGGAGAAGCCGCTCTGAGTTGCGTCTTGGAGATCTCCTTAGATCCTTTTGTAAGTTTTCTGTATCCTAAGCCACTCAGCTCAGCCCAGACGCACCAGGTTTTCCGATGGATCTGGACATCTTGGTGCTTGGGTGTCATTCCAGGAGGTCAATGAGTGACAGTTACTGACTCCTATCTGTCAGTTAGGAGAAAGGGAGAAGGTTTCTAAGGCAAAATACACACAGGTCCCACCCTCCTAGTGGACAAGAAATGCAGGATGCAGAGGCTGTGAGCCACAGGCTGGACAGGAGGGGGCAGGGTCAGCCAGTGAGCTTGGACTTCGGGTCTTGGGTGGTCAGACCGGTTCCCTGGGTTCAACGTGTGGTGCTTAGTGGTCAGGTCAACCTGGGGGAGGCCAGAGAGACGCCCTCGAGGGCGTGAGTCCTGGACCCTGGTGGGAAGTGTGAATATGGTTTGAGCTGGCGGATGAGAAGGGGAGGGGGTGGTCAGCTGCAGGCACAAGCGCACAGGGGTGTAGACAGCCTGGCATTTCAGAGAATTGCCAGCGAGTCGTTTGGCACTGTTGGAATGTGTGTGTTTCTTCATGTATGTATGTGTTTATATGTGTTTATGTGTGTGTCTGTGTGGCTGCATATGTGTGTGGGCCTCGGGCAAAGGCAGAGAGGGACATGGACAGGCAGGACACGTCCTGAGAAGGAGGCAGGGTCCAGACCACGGTCAGTCCTTTGCTGTGTCCCTTGGGTAAGGGCACTGGCCCTGAGCTCCCAGGCAGTGGAGTCACTGGACTCAGAAGGGACACTGGTGGCCTGTCAGAAGGAAGTTGTGTGGGTCTGAGAGGCGTGTAGGCGAGCTCATTGCAGGGGCTGCTGGAGTGACGCACCTGAGAAAGGATGGGGCCCATTGGGCAGTTGGGGTGGGACAGACGAGGACTCAAGTGCTCCAGGCCCTAGATTAATGCAGACTGATCTAGAAGGTGCAAGACAGGGAGAAGTCAAGAGCATCTCCTGGACTTCTGGAATGAGAAGCCCTCTCGCCATGGAGGCTGGGAAGGATGACAGAGGACAGAAGGAGGCAGAGGTGGAAGGTGCCAATGGGGATCAGTCTGGGACGGGTTGACTTAAATGGAGTGTCACCAGCAGATGGTCGATAGCCGACTTGCTCCTTTGTTAGCCGGTGTCCAATTCTCCGCGTGTCGCCTGGTCCGCGTGCTTAGGTTCACCGTCAGCATGTTCTTTCGTCTTGGACGCCCTGGTTAGAGTGACCTTCCACCGTTGTCAGGCAGAGGAGGTCTTCCAGGTTGGTTTTTTTGTCTTGTGGATTCCTACTGGGGTGAAAATCTCTGTTGGAGGTGCTTTGTTGCTCTTCCAAAGCCAAGCCGTTAGGTGGAAGGACGCCACGTCCATCCCTCTCCGCTGCTTTTCCCCAGAGACGCCGCCACGGTCCATCTCGGCAGCGCCCTTCCTGGCGCCTCTTCCCCTAAAGCTGCTGGTTGGCATCTCAGAGACTAGACTTTACTTCTTTGAAAAACATCACTTAGGGGCTCCCAAATTTTGTCCTTTATTCTGGAGATTAAACTGTCTCTCCCTTGTAATCGTCAGTGTTCAACATTGGGGCAAATTGACAAGTAATTGGAAAATCTGAACGAAGGCGCTATGTTCCTGATCCACAAAGGACCTGAACGTAAATATCTTCCTCAGTGTTCTCGGTGATTATTCACACGTTTTATAACTTTCCCGCACGTTAAGTCCTGGGCCTGATTCTGTCACAGAAACGCGGGGGACGGCTGGGTTGGTAGGTTTGCCTGTGATCACGGGGTTAGTGTATGCTTTGGGGTTGCAGACCCGAGCCTTTTGACCTCCAACCTCCCGCTCCTTCTAGAAGTTTCTCAATGGGGCCCTCTTGGCATTTTTTGGAGCAAGGTGGTTCTTCATTGTGCAGGACTGACCCTTGCACCACTCAGACTCAGCATCCCTGGCCCACCTACTGAGTGGCAGTGGACGCCGGTCTCTGCGACCACCTGCACTGCCACACGGGTCCCCTGGGAGACAATTCCCAGCCTCTCCTCCACTCAGCACTCTTCCACTCAGCATCCTTTCTGCCAGCCCCAGGGAGGGAGCCTCAGCCTTCCTTGGATGCTGGTGTCTGAGGCAACTTGAGTTAGGTGTCCATGTAGTTGGAGCCAGAGGCCAACAATGATGGCTGAGACAGGAACTGGCGAGTTATCAATGACCCCATATTCGGGCCTTTGACATTAGAGAGGGGCAGACGGAGCGTTCATGTGCACGGGGTTGGGGTTCCTGGGCGATGGCATCCGGGCTGCCTGCTGAACCAGCCTCATTGTTGAGCGTAACGGATCACCTTACTCAGCAAGGAGGAATGGACCTCAAGGCTGGAGGAGACAGCAGGAGGGCCCTGTGCATCCCCGGGCACACAGAGCTGCCTCATAGAGAATTGGTTCCAGCCTCATATTCGGTCCAACCTCATTTATTTCTGAATGCTTTTACAGTGATAAAGCAAATTCTGGAGCTCCTGCTGATGGCTATGCAACAGAATGTAATTTTAATTCAATAAAAATTAGAAGTCACACTTAGAAGCTGAGTTGCCCTGGCGTTTGTTTCTGCTGGCTTATTGGCGAGCAGCACAGAAGGGACCTGGGCACGTGGCCGCACTGTGTCACTCTGGTTCTTAGCGGCGATGTCACGATTTTGAAAGGTGTTTGTGATCGGTTTGTATCATCGACACTATCTAACTTTTTTGAAAATAAGCTCTGCTGGCAACTGATGTGATTTTTCCATAATCGCTCTCCTTTGTGGTGTGGGAGGGGTGGTGCCTGTTTTCAAAGCATTATGTTCGGGGCCAGCGTGGGCGGGATGGACTTTCTCATCAGTGAGGTGACCAGACGAGACAACCGCCCGTATCTAAAATGTCAGAAAGGGGTCCACATAAAAATTAAGTCACGCTGGGATGTGTTCAAGCTGTGCTTCTCAAAGTGTGTTCCCAGGGCCAGCAGCAAGAGCATCCCCTTGAAACTTGTGAGAAGTGAGGGTCTGGGGCCCAGACCTGACGAATCAGACACTCTCTCGGGAGGTGGCGGGGTTCAGCAGTCTGTGTCTTAATGAGCACTCGAGTTTGAGAAGCCCTGACAAGTGAGAGAACGGGCTGAGGCAAGAGGTGGTTATTGATCACGAGAAAGATGTCACAGGTACTGGAGTTTGAGTCAATGATGAGAGTTGAGGCCTCAGACACCAATGGCTCCATCTGAGCACTTCCCTTCTTATGTCTACCCAAGGTCTCCATCCAAGTGACAAGAAGCTCTTATTTTTCATCCTGTAAGGCCAGGGGTCCAGTGCTCAGAGAAACTACGAGGGCAGGACGGAAACACCTCTGCCATCTCTGGCCGGGTGCCCAGGTGGGCTGCTTCAGGGGGCGTTCCACCTCACCTCTCCCGTGTCTTTGTCCTTCTCTGCAGAAATGCATTCGATTTAACCCGGACGCGACGGTGTGGGTTGCAAAGCAGCGGATTCTGTGTTCACTGAGCCAGAGCCTGAAGGACGTCCTGAACTACGGGCTGTTCCAGCCGGCGAGCAACGGGCGCGACGGCAAGTTCCTCGACGAGGAGCGGCTCCTGCGAGAGTACCCGCAGCCCACGGGCAAGGGCATCCCGTCCCTGGAGGTACCGGTTCTCGCTCACAGCCTGGACACGGCGGGGAGCGGGGGGGCCTTCGCTCACCTCCAGGTTTGATTGGAATTGGGAAATGAACCCCAAATTAAGAAATCAGCTTTGGGTCTTGAGGTCGCCCCGGATTTTGTTGTGATTTGCCGACTGTTGTGCAAATTTCTCTCCGTTTTCTTAACATAGATTTGATGAATTTGTTGGAGACAGATCTTGATGTGAGCAAAGCCTCCGTCCTACTCAGGCTCGTGTCACTAGGACCTCTGAGTCCTGGCACGTGGGATGGGGCTTGCTTTCTGCTCCCCGAGTCAGTCTCCTGCCCTTGGGCATAGGGAGGCCAGCGGCCATCCCGCTGTTATCAACATCACGATTTCCTTTCTGCTTCTTGCTCGGGAAGTGACCTGTGGGCTGTCTGAGCCACTAGAGCCGGGCACACACTCCTGGGCAAGCCTCATGAAGGGGTTGATGCGGGAGCTGGGCAGGCTTGCACACGTCCACATAAAGTGCGAGCCCACTGCCTGCCATTCTGACCCTGGCTTGCTGCACCGCGCCTTGACATGCAGGATTTCCACATGAGACGTGAAGACGGTTACACAAGAGGCCAGGAAAGGAGTCATTTCTACGACTGCCCAACGCATTGCTACCATTATTACGTGGTCGCATTCATTGCAGCTTAGTCAAATAGTGAGAGACAGTGAGTGTGGACTGTAGCTGGCATCTGAGTGATCCAAGGGGGTTCTATGACATTCTCAGTGACTGGAGATTGCTCCGAAGTCAGGCGTGTCGTGGATACGAATTCAGAACCCGAGTACTCCCTCATGTGCACATTTCCGGGTCTGATGGCGACTTCGAGGCCGCGGTTATTGGGGTCTCCGTTTAGGGGGAACGTGTCACACCAGGGAGAGGATTTTCAGTGGCGGAAGAGGCGGGATGCCACTTGCAAGCTGTTCTGGCCTCAGTTTGCTCGTCCGTCAAATGGGTTTTCGTTGAAAAACCGCTTATTGGGATCGGCTATATGCCAGACACTTTCCGGGCGTGTCCGACGTGCACAAGACAGTCTAGGTCTGGTCGTCGGAGCCTCCACTCCAGTGGAAGGTGACAGATCAGGAACAGTGAAGAAACAGTTCATTTCTGGGGCTGATAATTTGTGTAGTGACAGTAAAACAGGAGGAGAAGAGCGGGAAGTCCAGAGCCTGCTCTGATCAGAAAGCCTCTTAGAGGCTGATCTGAAGGCCCTTTATCGCCTGTGCCCCCACCCCCTGAGAAACGGACACGACAAGGCGTGTGAAGCACTGGGTGACCCGGGCAGGGCTGTGTCGTGCCTTCTAGAACAGCGGGCATGAGTGTCCTCTTTCTGATGTCCCCATAGGAGCCGAGGCAAGAGGTCTGCATAAGAGCATCCTAGTCCTGAATTCACGGCCCCACGTGGGTGCATGGGCTGCAGTATCAGATGGACTTGGTCCAGCCCTGGTCGCTGTGCAACCTTGAGCACCTCACTCGGCCTCTCTGAGCCTCCGATTCCCAGCTGTGAAACTGGGGAGTTGTTAATCCCGCCGTCTTGGGTGGCCGTGAGGCTTAAATGAAGGATTCCACAGAGCAGCGCGGTTGGCAGTGGATGGGCGAGTGTCCCATGGTGGCGTTGCGGCTGCTGTGTCATTAGCTGTCACTGCCGTGAAGGAGCCATTTATCCTTCCACTCATTCGTCTCCTTGGGCCACTGTCCTGCCAGAGCGTCCACTGCACAGAGCTGAGGCGGGCCTGGAGATCAATGCATGAGGGGCAGGCGAGGTGCTGAGCTCTTTGCCTTGGTGACTCCAGAAAAATATGGTTGGCTAACTGTCCGTAGGAAGTGCTGGGAAAACAGCCAGCAGAGGGTGTGGTTTTGAGCCTGCGTCCCTCTGTAGCCACGAGCTGTGAAGATTAGTGACTCTGCAAGTGGACTCTCCTCCTCGGTACTTACCCTCCTGCCGAGAGGTGCCATGAGCCCCAGCTTGTTTCCTTATAACTGGAAAAAGTTCCCATCTTTTGGACTTTCCAAGTTTAGGCACATGATAGTGAACGCTGTCACACTCCTGACGTCACTCTCGGTGGCTTCTGAAACCACCACAGATGCAAGGGGTGAAGGGTTTCTTAGTGGTCCCAGGAGGTGGGACAGACAACGTGCTGTCCTGGTCGAATCTAGAATCAGGCAGAAATCCCAAAACGGGACTGGATCTCCTCGGGCCAGTTCAGTTCAGGAGGATAGACCCCTGTGGTTCACGACACCACGCGTTACCCAGGAACCATGTGCCCCTGGAGTTTCACGGAAATTTCTGATTTCGCTGCGGGTTTATTTTGGCACTTAAAAAAAATCAAGTTTCGGTCTGTGCAACAAAGGCATGTTGTGTGATGTCGAATTAGCTGTCTTGTTTGGGGCAGGGGGGAAAGGAGAGTAAGGTGGTCGCTTGGACGCTTTATCTGGGTTCAGACTTTCTGGTTCAGGATCGGGTTACCCCCTGCCCTGCACCTGCGTTTCACGTGGGGGTGTTGTCACTCCCCCTGTGCTTGTTGGAACACCTTAGGGTGTGATGGTATTGGCAGAAGCCAGGGGAGGGGTAAAGCAGCATCGGGCCAGGGCTGGTTCCCTGCCAGGAAGCCCACACTCAGTCCTCGGGCCACCTGGGAGCTTGGTGTTGTTATGACCATGCGACAGATAAGGAAACTGAGTCTGAGATGGGACAAGCGTCCAGCCCAAAGCTACTCCGATGACAGGACAGTGGTGGGGTTGGGAATGAAACAGATGCCTCAGCTCGAAACCTCAGCGACTCCCAGACTGTTGGCCTCTTTCCCAAACCTCCGTAGCGTCTCCAGCGCATTTTTCTTCAGAAGGGGTCAGGGCACCCGGGAGAGGCGAGGACGCGTTAGGTAGATGTGCCCGGGAATCAGGAAGCTGACCGTGACCCCAGTGCTGCTTCTCAGGCAGCACATGATGACGTCTGAGCAAAATGCGCTCCTCGGTTCCTACGATATGATTTCCAGTTCAAGGGAGGCACTGCTGTTCAAGGGGGTGACCCGCAGCCCCAGAGTCCCGGGCAGAAGCTGCAGGTGCCAGAGGAGGTGGCTTCACCATGCCGGGGCTTCCAATCCCTGCTTTCATAAAGGTTGACGATGCAGAAGGAAACTCAGGCGTGTGAAGCAGCATCCTCATTGCTGATGGGGCCACGCTGCTGACAGGCAGATGCCCACGCAGGAGCCGAGGTCTAGTAATGCTGAGCAGGGCTGGGCGTGGCCGGCAGCCACGCTTCTCCACCAGAGGATCTTGACTCCTCCCTTGGGCTGCTCTTGTTTCTTTTTATGGCTTTTTAGCCAAATGGCTGCAGAATCTCGGCAAAGGTTATTCTTATGATGTCGTGGGCCCAGGAAAGGGCCTCTTGGCCTCTGAACAGCTCGTGAAATACTCACTTGGTTTTCTTTTTTTCCTGTTTCTGTGCCAGTTTCGATACAAGAAGCGGGTGTATAAGCAAGCCAATCTGGACGAGAAGCAGTTGGCCAAGCTGCACACAAAGGTAAGCGGGGACGGTTGTCACCTACGCTCCTGGAGTTGGGTCGTCTCGAGTTATCGTCTTCAGAGATGAGGGGAGCTCCCTGGGCAGAGGGTTCCTCTTCCTGCGAGATGCTGACACGCCACCTACTGTGTTCCTCTTGTGGCGAGGGGTGGCGTGGGGCTGTGCAGGTGGACCAGGCCCACCTCACGCTGCCTGAGACCCACCTGCCACCCGGGAAGCAGGGCGAGTTGCTTTGTGAAGCTGGTGGGGGCTCAGGCAGGGGAGCAAATCGGACTGGATGTTCCAGAAGATTCCTCGAAGGCAGCAGCTCTGAAGAAGGGTGGCATTTGGAATCCCACCGGGATAGGGAAAGGCGTGCACACTGTGTCCTGGGCTCCCTGGGCACTGTGGGTCCTCCCTGGTGTTGCCCACGTGGGCCTGACTTCACCACGCAAATGAAACACACCCTCCCCACGGCACCTAGAAGGGCTCCGCCAGAGCCCCCCCACCTCAGTACCACTGTCGTCCCCTCCCGTGTGATGAAAATACAGTAGATGACAACTTGTAAGTGAAATAATGTCACTTAGTAGAGTGGAACCCTTCTGGGTGTTTCTGGGAGGAGGGGGGCGCCGTTCTTTCTCAGCCATCGCTCCCGAAATCAAAGACAGCAGTGAAGTAGTTTTCCACTGCTGTCGCTTGGGTACAAAGCTGGTTAATGTGCTCTTTGCATAAACAGCACAGATGTGGGCAGCAGGGGAGTGAAGGAGGGTGTGAAGGCAAAGAACCGTGGGCCGCGCTCCATGGAGCGCTCAGCTCCTGGCTGGACATACTGTGCGCACCGTGCCCAGGGAGCCCGTGCTGCTGGGCGGGTACTCCGTGGGCCGGCACGCCGTGGGCACGCCTGCACTTGGTCAGGGATGCTGTGCAGGTCCAAGGGGATACTGGAGCAGGAGCACGTGGTGGGCACCTCCCTTAACACCGAGGAGGATGTGTGATACTTGAGGATGCTCGTGGATGCCCCACTCCGGAGAGCCTGTAACTCTCCCTGCAGAGCACAGGGAAAGCCAGAGTCGGGCAACTGCCTGGGCGGCCTCCTGAGCTGGCCCTGATGCTGTCCAGGTGAGCTCACCTGTGGCTGTGAGCTCAAAGCAGGGCCCTCTGTTTTCTTCCCCTCATTTCATCCAGGGTGGACGTGTGGGTTTTTATTACATCCAACAGCTTAGAATGTGCAATTATCATTATTTATTTTTGGGCTCAAATTGTCCAGATGGGGCCAGTGGTGGCCTTTTCCCTGGCTCTCTGCCCCCTGGCATGTCCCCTCCGTCCTTTGAGCCTTGATGACTTGCTGGCACAGCAGGATGCTGGGGCTCCTCTTGCACGTTCCCGCCCCAGCCCTGGAATTCGCGTGGATGGTAGTGTTTAGAACCCGAGGTCTGGACACTTCTGGTTTTTCTGATTACCCTCAGATGTGTAGATAGAAATGTGTTTGTGAATTTTTTGTTAAATGTCAGTGAGTAAATAGCAGTGACGGTGATAAGTGAAACCAAGTGTATCCTGTGTCTTTGGGCGTTTGTGAATTTCTAGTCCTGGAATATATGGAAACCATGCAGGTGGAGATCAGACGTGCAGGCCGGCTGGAGGGTCCAGGGGCTGCCAGCGTTGAAACCGCCGTTGCTCCCCGTCCAGCGTGTTTGGGGAGAAATGTGGAGGGGGGTCAGAGAACTCAGCCCACAGAGAAGAGTTAGATTTCTCAGACAGAGGCGTGTGGGATACTGCGCTTCTGGTCGTATAGCCCAGGCTGTCTGCCTGATGGCCCGGAAATCATTATTTTTCTTAGAGATGAGGCTGAGAAAGGCTGGGGAAACATCTTTCCCGGTCAAGGTTGACCCACCGATCACCTTGACTTCCTTCACCCTGAGTCTCTCACTGACCAGGTTTCCCTGTTTCTGCCCGTGTGGCCACAGAGTTAACCAAAAGGTGGATTAACCTGAGTGAGCGTTGCCCTATCTGCTTTCCATTGTGGCTGCCAGCCTGGGGATTGGAACACAAATGCCAGTCTTTGGGTCTCGCTTGCTGGGGTCAGAAGGTCTGGAGTGGACCCTGGAAACTGGTTTCTCAAAGCGGTCCGGGTGGCTCCTCCTTTTGAGAGTGAAAGAAAGAACATCCCAAGGCGCTTGGCAAGGACGGCGAGCGGTGAGGATTTCTAGAACATTCATCCAGGACAGGCTGAGTGTGTGGGCCATGCGCTGGACTCCGTGCTGGCCCGGGGGTTCCAGACACAGAGAAGCCGCTGCTTGGCGAGCCCCGGGGTCGGCAGTGGGCCCCCATCAGGGGGCGGCTCTCCCGGCATGGGGGAGGCCAGCGTGCACCCTGTCAGGAGCCTTCCTGTGGCCTGCAAAGACGTTTCTGGTTTTTAATTTTTCTCTTTAGACCAATCTGAAAAAATGCATGGATCATATTCAGCACCGTGCAGTGGAGAAGATCGTCAAGATGCTGGAACGAGGCCTGGATCCGAATTTCCATGACCTGGAGACTGGAGGTGGGTGCTGGCTTTGCTGAAGCAAGGCTTCCGTTAGGAACGGTGATTCCGCTGTTCAGATGCCGCGTGTGTATGCAGCATTGACGCCTTACGTGGTTTTTAAAAGGGCTTGCTCACTCCTGCGTGAGTTCTGGGTGTGACTATGATTGCTCCCATGACGTCTCTCCAGCCAGCGTGGCACCTGGCACATAGTAGGTCCTCAATACCTATCTGTTGAATAAGTGACGAATGAATGACGGCACGCACAGAGCTGCTGTGTGGCAGCCTGGGGAGACACGCAGGCACATGCAACCATCTTGCTCCCCCGCTGGAACCGGATTCCGTGTGCGTGCGGCCGCTAACCACGGGCAGGCTCAGGGGGCTCAGGGGTCCCCAACCTCGGCAGTCTTGACTGACGTTAGGGGCTGCATAGTTGTCTTTTTTTTTTTTAACAATTCCAAATGAGCACTAACTTTTATTTAATCTTATCTCTTCCCCTTTTTTCCAGTTTTATTGAGATATAGTTGACACCTAACATTGTATTCATTATAAGGATACAATGTAATGTTCGATCTGTGTTTATATTGTGAAATGGTCCCCACAATGAGTCGGGCGAACACCCATCAACATGCTTAGTGATGAATTTTTTTTTCTTGTGATGTGAACTTTTAAGATCTACTCTCTCAGCAACTTTCAAACATATAAGACAGTCTTGTAACATGTAGCCCCATGCTGTGCATTACATCCTCAGGACTTAGTTATTTTATACCTGGAAGTTTGTACCTTTTGACCCACTTCACCCGTTTCCTCCGCCTCCCGCTCCCCACCTCTGCCAACCGCCAGTCTGTTCTCTGTTTGTGTGAGTTCCGTTTTTTCAGATCGCTCGTGTGAGATCGTACAGTATCTATCTTCCTCTGTCTGACTTGCCTCGCTGAGCACAATGCCCTCAAGGTCCATCCATGTTGTTGCAAATGGCAGGATTTCCTTCTTTATGGCTGAATAGTATTCCATTGTGGGGCTGGACAATTCTTGATGGTGGGGGGGCTGTCCCGTGCCTTGTGGGATGTTTACAGCATGCCTGGCTTCCGCCCACAAATGCCAGTGGTAACCCTCCAGTTGTGACAACCAAAAGTGTCTCCAAACATCACCCAGTATCTCTCCCCTGGGGGTGGGAGCACCATAGCTCTAGGTGAGAGCCCTGTGCCACTGGGACGTGCTGAGCTTGGCCGGCCGAGGGTTGGCTGTTGTGGGGAGCCGAGAGCCGCTCAGCAGAGGGTCTCCATGGCAACTTGGAGTGTTCACCTGGACAGGTGGGTTACCCTGGGCTACGGAACATTCCTCTTGGCCTCAGCAAGTGGGATGGGCTGAGTCCGCCCCCACCCCGTGTCCTTGTCACCTATACATGTCCCACCTCACAGTTACTAAGCCCACAACAAATGCATTAGTCAGCTGGAGAAGGGAGCTTTCTCATCATTTGTGGGGGCTCCTCTGACCCCTAAAGCTGGGGGTTCCCCCCTGCTGCTCATCCAGCCGTGCACTTCCCCATCTGAGCTCAGGACGTAGTCGCCATTAACTCCGGTGTCTCCTAACTTGAACCGCAAGCCGCGTGAGAGCGGGCATGCCAGCTTGTCTCTGACGGGAGCTTCGGCACCTGAGATGCTGGGGGACAGGACAGTGCAAGCGTGCATGGAGGGGGGACGTGCTCAGAGGCCTGACTGAAGACGAGCAGGGTACCCACCCAGGAGCCGTGTGGCGCCTGCAGGGGCCCCAACCTTGCAAGCTCAGGGAATGACGGGGAGCCCCCGGGGCTGGGGAGCCAAAAGGAGGGCATGTAGCAGGCAGTGGGCGATGGCCCCCAGGCCTGTGCGGCGAGTCTGGATGGGGAGCGGGGCCAGGCGCAGGGTTTGACCTTCTGGAAGCAGGTGGCAGCAGGTGTGGGGCAGGCGTCAGCAGTTCCGATCCCATGGGGGAGGATGCGGAGTTGAGCTGAGGGGGGAAGCCGAGCCCCAGAGCTGGGGGGGGCTCACAACGAGCACGTGTGGCCGTGCTCCTGGCACCACGGTGAGCTGCCTACTCTTCTTCTGCCTTGTCGCCTGGACTGGCTCCCGGCTCCCTTCTGTCCGTCAGCGTGATGTAGGCCCCAGCACACGGATCTGTGGATTCTGGAGCAGGAGCCTGAGTCTTCGGGAACATTCACAGACCTTAGCCGGGCCTGGTGTCTGAGGTTCCTGGACCCAGATTCTCTCCTTCAGGCCAGCCTTTGGCCTGAGCCGCCACCAGCCTGGCCTCATCCATGGCCATTTTTGGATGATTACACGGGGCTGGGCCGCCTCTCTCTCCTGCCCTGACCAGCAGTGGCGGGAGGCGAGAGAGGCTCTGGGCTGCCCTTCTTCCTGCACGACCCCTCTCATCGGCCCCTTCCCGTCGTGTGCCAGGCCTCCCCACCGCTTCCATCACCACAGCTGGTGTCTTCTGGATTCCAAGGGCTAGAAATGACTGTCATTCCCGAGCAGACCCCAGCTCAGCTTCTAAAAACACATCAGCGCAGGCTCTGAATTATTTTGAAGCAGAAGTCTATGGCTCTTTCTCTCGGCCCTGCCTGGAATTAAAACCCACCGTGTGTGTGATTACAGACAGAATCAGTGCCAGAGCAGTTACACGGAGCAGCGACTCAACAATGATAAGAACAGAAGTGGGACCTTAAGAACTCGAATAGAAATGGCTTGGGAGCAGTGATCCATCGAGAAGGTGGCGTGGCGTTAACCTCCATCTTTTCTGAAATATTCCTGGGACGACGGCCTGTGCGCTAATTGACTGATCAGAAAGGAACAGCCAGTTAACTCTGAGTCAGGGAACTCTGAAAGGAACAGAAACCCATTTTCCCCTCAAGTCCACGTGCTTGGCTCCCAACAAAGCGCGCAGAATTAGCAGCCGGCGTTCCAACATGCAGAGGACACTTGGCACGCGCTTAGCCGAGGGGCCAGAGCCGGCCCTGGGAGGAAAAACGCACGTCTTCATGTTCGCGTCTAAGGTGGAGCATCAGGGGCCCGGTGACACGTGTGAAACATCAGTCAGTGCAGCACGGTGACCCCTGAATTGGGGCCAGTCAAGGTGAGCCTGCCCAGGTTGCAGGGGACCCAGCCCCAGAGAATCCCAGGGGGGTCATGTGTTAGCTCCGGCTTCTCCACGGCTGGCTGCGAAGACGAGTGAACCTCTCTGAACCCCGTCTCCTCGTCTCCTCCATCGGGTGACGGTACCTCCAGGGGCGGACATTGGAGCAACAGAAGTTCAGTGTTTCACACATGGAGTGTGTCATCTGTAGTAGGGTCTCCAGAAAGTTCTGTCACGTCAGGTCACAACGGAACCTCAGTAGATGCTTTTTTTTCCCTTGTTTTGGACCCAGAGGGAGAAAAACAGGGGCTGTCTTGCGTGGGCCTCAGACAACAGGTAGTGTGACCAACATGTCCAGTTTTCCTGGGATGGGCCTGGTTTGCACACCGGAAGTCCAGGAAGGCCCTTGGTCCCAGACAGAATGGCACAGTCACTTACCTTCCTCAGTCCTCATGGGTCCCATGAAGCAAGCCATCTTTGTGGGGCCAGTGACCTCGGAGAAGCTGGAAGCTCTGAGAGTGGAGTTGGTTGCCAGGTCACCGGCGAGGGAGGAGGTGAGCCTGGGCCTGCGTGCCCGCGGACTCCAGGGCACACGCTGTCCTCCCCGGGTGGAAAGGAGGTAGGGTCGTTGGTGGTCTCTCTTCTCGCATGCCGTGCCTGGCAGGACATGGCCGTGGTGGCTCTGGCAGGTGCAGAGGGTCCAGGACTGGAGGGCCTGTGGTCGCCGAGCAAGTTCTGCTCGTGGTCCCCGGAGGGAGTTGCATGCTGCCGCTCCAGGCGATCCCAGGGCGGCGGGAAGAGCTGACGCGCATCCCTTTTATTCCAGACACTGGGCTGCCCTCCTCCGACAGCCGAGGCTTGTTCTCATGTTTTAGCAGTTCCACGCTGAGTTCGGTGCAACTTTTCAAGCAGAATCTGGCTGAAAACGAGGCTTCTTCACTTGCTGTGCAGAGAGTTGAATGCAGTCGGCTTCCTAAGCACAGAAAATGCCCTAATGCCTGGCCCCTGGCCCGCGTCCCTGCACTTGAGCTGTGCGGTCCTCAGGTGCTTCTGGGCTGCACGTGGGGGCCCCAGTGGGAGGAAGCAGCCCTTCTGATGGCGGGGCGCACAGGAGATAATTAAATCCCAGAGGAGGGGCCGGCCCGGTGGCACAGTGGTTAAGTGTGCACGTTCCGCTTCAGCAGCCTGGGGTTCGCTTGTTCGGATCCCAGGTGTGGACATGGCACCACTTGGCAAGCCATGCTGTGACAGCCATCCTACGTATAAAGTAGAGTAAGATGGGCACGGATCTTAGCTCAGGGCCAGTCTTCCTCAGTTAAAAAAAAAAAAAAAAAAGGATTGGCAGCAGATGTTAGCTTAGGGCTGATCTTCCTCAACAACAACAACAACAAATTTTAATCTCAGAGGAATGACCTGTCAATTAAAACAAAGCAGCCTGTCTTAGTACAACCAACTGTCTGGTACCTGGTCTAGTGGAAATTTTATTAAGTAGTGACGAAAGTAGCGTAAAAAAAATAAAGACTCGCCCACCAGGGTCTCGGGCTCGTCTCCTGCTATGATTGGAACCTCGGAAAGAAGACAGTGGTGTTTCGAGCCCCGAAAAGGGAGTCAAACTAACCTTTGGAGCAGAACTTGGCTTTTATTTCGTTCCGTGTTCCCAAACTTGAAAAAGGCCCAGGCACAACAGGGTGGGGTGGGGAAGACGCTGATAAAGCTGGAAAGGTCTCTCATCTCTTGCAGCGTCTGGATGAGAAGGGAAAAGCAGAACACCCATTGATGGAGCTGATCTTGCCTGGCACCTGTGACGCGTCTAGACTTCCTTTACGAGATCCAGTTACTCAGTGAGGTTCCAGGGTGGTGACGGCTGGTCAGCGTGTCAGGCTGGTTTTGTCCATCGTCTGTGCAGAGAT